TCGTAAGTCATGCCGGCCTGCTGAGATTTGTCAAAGAAATGCCCGCGTAGGGCCTCTGGAATGGCACGATAAAACAACTGGACCAACTTGGGCTCAGTGACCCCGTGGTCCGGGACGGCTACCAAATCGTCCATGGTACCCTTGAGTGCCTTGGCACTCCTCCACTGCCGGGAGTGGATCGTTTGGAGCTTATCAGAGGCTCTAATGCCTTGCGTTGGGTCAGCGAACCGCTCCTTGAGGAGCTTGAGGAATTGGGAAAGAGGGGTGACTTTGGAATATGCAACCAGGTTGTTCTCTCAACCGGCTGTACGCGCGAGAGACCTGGCGAAGCTAGCCGCTTCGTCCTTCAGGGCCTGGAAGGCCACGAGGACTTGCTCCTCTATCAGGATATGCTGTAAATAAATATAACTATTGACACTGGCCTCCCGGTTGTCAAAGTTCTCGTCCTTCTGTCCCCCGTACGCGTCTGGGAACTTAAGTTTCACTGGGTCCTTACGGGGTCTGGCCTCTCCTTCTACAGCGGCTGCAGCTTTGGCACCCTGAATGGCGCCCTCACAAAACTTCCCTACATTGTCCCTCAACTGTTTGACTTCGCCCCCAATGTGGGTGACGATTTCGCGCGCAAAATCCCTGAAACCGGACCGCATGGCACTCAATGCGACGTCTTGGCTCCAGCTGGCCTGGCGCTCCTCCATCCAGGCCTTGCTCAACACCTCTAGATAGCCCAGTACTTTATCCCACTTGGCCTTATCATCTGGCTGGGCCAGCACCTCCGCTCTACAATCCTGCACCTTTACCACTACTGCGGTCATCTTATTCACTTCGTCTCTCCTCCTCTTCTTCTCCCTCTTCATTCTCAGCTTCCATGCTAACTTTCGCTCGTCTTCCCTCTCTCTTCGTTCCATTGGGTCTGTCATGGCTGCTAGCTTAGCGGCCAGCGCAGCCTTCTCATCCTTAGTCACATAGGACTCCCTCTCCTCGTCTTCCCCCAACGATAAATTAGCGACCCACTCGCTGATCTTCTTCTCCATCTCAGTATCTGTCTCCCACTTCATCGTGCCACCACTGCTCCCTTCTCCACTCTCAATTCTCATTCTCTCTTTCTCTTCTTCTGCTGCCGCTTCTGCTTCAGCAGCCTTCCTTCTTTCTTCCTCCTCCTGTTGTACCCTCTTCATCTCCTCCTCCAACCTCTTCATCTTCACCGCCTGCTCATCGGCGATAGCCTTTAGCTTCGCCTGCTTCTCGCGCTCTTTTCTCTCCTTGTTCTCTCTGACTAAGGCGGCCATCTTTTCTTGCTGCTCCTTGCTATAGGGGTTAGTCTCTAGCCCAGTACGGGTCTCAACCATGGTGATAGGGTGCACAATCAGGATGATTCCACTCCTCACCACGTAGACCCTAACCCCTGACTGACAAACCTATAGACACAATCTAAGAACCCACAGAATTCTGACAAGGACCCTGTCAACTATGGTCTCTAGCCTAGACCTATGCTGTGGCTGTCACTACTGAACCAGTGGCTGATCAGGAGGCATTTAGGGAGATCCCCCGTAACTCCTCAAGAATTCTTTAACGTCGCAGACAGGACGACGTGATCAGCTTGGTTCTGCCTGTGCTTTCAGCCCACAACTCAGCCTTTCCGGCCTACTGTGCCACACCGAGCAGCCCGCCGGTCTGTACCGGTCCTTGGGAGGGTTCGTATCCCCCGGGACAGTCGAGTCGTCAGACACAGAT